TAGAATTGATACAACCATAGAAATAGGAATTGTTAACACATCACGAGCTAGAATTGAAAGTATCGGATAATGAAAATGCTCCATTTGTCACCAAGAAAGAACATTTATGTCTTGCTTTCTATCTAGTCTTTCCTCATCCAAATACTTATGCAATTCATTTTTCCTACTTGTACTTGGACCATTTTTGTAACTATTATCAAAATCCTACATCACACAAGATGAAACATGCAAATATTAGAATTGTGCATCATTTTAATATATAATATGCAACAATAAATATAAAAAAGAAAATAAGTTTAGGTTACCTCAAAAATGGTGTCTCCATCTTCCGTGTGACTAGTTGTCTCATTCATTCCATAATTCGATAACAACATGAGATAAACTTTCTGAGTACACATCAAAAAGAGATGTCGATGTGTCTCTAACATAATTGAACTTTTCAGAATCCTTACCATGAAGCTTGGTATAAGCCCGCTCTACAAAATGCAACTTATAACAAGGATCCAAAATAATTGCAATTGCAAGAATGGCTTATTATCACAAAACGTCCCTAAGGTTTACGAAACTATCAGATTGCATCCTTAATGTTTTTTTGTGTCACTCGTGGTCCTCAAGGTTAGTATGTGCGATCACAAATGGTCTCTACCGTTAGGATCTGTCAAAAACTCCGTTAGTTTGCTGACGTGGCATATATATATATATATCACAAAACATCCCTGAAGTTCACACACTTATCACAAATGGTCCTTACGAAATTTTTTAATTTTTTTTCATTTAAAATTCATAAAATTTTACCTTTCTTTTTAAAATTATTTATAAATGGAAAAACCATTTATAGAAGGATTTTAATCTTGAGGACCATTTATGAACCCTAAACCCTTAATTTTTTTCTTTTTAAAATTTTGTGAATTTTAAATTATTTTTTAAAAACTCCATTAGTTTGTTGATGTGGGGTACGTTGTCCTAGAAAATAAGCATGTAACATCATTAAAGAACCCCAAAAACTTGGAAATCTTCTACATTAATCCACTCTTGAGGAGAAGGACAGCTACTAAAATTGGAATCAATCAATCCTGAATTAATAAAAGCACGACAATAGAAAAGTGCACTCCCAAGCATGGTATAAATTGAGTTCCATCTAGTAGGGACATATTGTCTGAATCCTCTCTTACTACTCATTATCTATACTTGTGCAACACATTCACAGAACTTTTGTTTCCTCCCCTCAGAACTCTTTATATATTTGATGCAGTCACAAATCTTTATCAGTTATGAATCAATTTCCTTAAGTCCATCTTGGACTATCAAGTTTAAAATGTGAGCACAACAACGCACATGAAAAAACTTGCCACACATCAACAGAAGATCTCTAAAGTTCAATTGATTCATCAAAATCTCAACAAAAGAAGTATTTGCAGAAGCATTATCCAAAGCAATAGATAATGCAACACCAGAATGCGGAGGAGGCATATGACAAAAATTTATAATTCTTTTGTGAAATCTCCAAGCTTGGTCAACAAAGTGAGCAGTAAGAGCTAGATACCCATCAGTACATACAAAGGTCCATAAATTTAAAGTTAAACAAATTCTTCCCTGAATTGAGCTTAACAAAGTATGAAGCTTTTGTCTTTCACTTTTAAACATCATCAACACACAAAGTATGAAGCTTTTGTCTTTCACTTTTAAACATCATCAACACACATGCCTTAACAGTATTTCTACATGGCAGTTTAATATCAGGAGAGACATATGCAAACAAAGCCCTAATTCCCTCATATTCAACAAAACTAAAAGGCAAATTGTGCTTGATGATCGCCTCTATTAACAAGTCACGAAATTTCACATAATCAAATTGCGGGGAATGCAATCCTGAAGATGACATAAGTAATTGCTTCACATCACCATGAGGCTTCTTAATGCAATTTTTAGCATGATTCAACAAATTTCCCATCCCATACCTACTATCACACACATAAACAATCCCACAATGTTTACATTTAGCACGCTTTTTGTTATCTTCATCAACGGGTAGTAAATCAAATGATTTCCAAGCAGGAGATCTTAGTCTACGCTTACTCACATTGGCTCTAACCTTTTTCTTTGTAGGGCTTAACTCTTTCTCTTTTGTAGTTTTAGTATTTGCTACATCAATACCCATTGAAACGTCAACTGACTCCTCATCATTAATATCAATAGCATTGGTAGGGCTATTTTTTGTAACATCCATCCCCTTCAAAAATAAAAAACAAAGAGATATAGATATTATTAGACACAACAATAGAATCAACACAACTGATATGAGAGAGCCAATGGCAAGTAGTATGAAAAGTCCAAACTCACAAAAACATCAATAATATGTAAAAATAAAATAGCCAAGACAAATTTTTGGTCTTTTGAAAAAAGAGGAACCAATATCAAAGCCTGTAATAAAAAAAAGATATACCAAGAAATCGTGTTTTTTTTCCCCAAACTCCTCAAGGTTTGGACTGCAAAGATAATCAATCTCCTCAAGGTTTCAAAACCTCTTTACTTCTAGTATGTTTTCGTCTTCATTATCTAGGGAACCCAAAAAGCAATTGCTTTCTGAGAGAATCCTACCCTTAAACAATTGCTTTTTGAGAATGCTTTAATGGTTGGGGAAAACATTGTGTTTGTTTGATATCAAAGTCCACATAAATATATCAATTCTAAACTAAAAGTTAAACAAATTTACCAAAACAATTAAGAAAAACATTCGTACCTTAAGAGAGGATTTGGTGGCAGGGGAAGATCTTCAAAGACAGAGAGAGGAGAGATCGCAAGAAGAATGAGAAGATGAGGATTTGAGAGATAGAGAAAGAAAGCTGTGGAGAGGAGAGAAGGAGATGCTCTTACACCACTCAATTAGCCAGCCGACGCAGAATGAAGAGATGCTAGGGTTAGGGGATATTTTTTTTTAGAATTAAAAATTACAAAATTACCCTTGCTTAACGAGTTGGTTCATGTATTCATGAATGGGCATCGAAACAACCCGTTAGCTTAACTAGTGCCTAAGGGTCAACACAATAGCAACACGACACGATAACTCAAACCCGAATACTGAATTTTTCATGCAAATTCATGTCTTGTTAACGGGTTGTGTGCGATATTGCCAAGTCTAAGCATGATGTGCTTAGTGACTATATTTCCTCTATCTCCGTGTCCAAGTTGACCCCTAAAGTTTTTGGGTGTGTTGCCTATGTTCATGTATACCCTCATCAACAGAGTAAACTTGATCCTTATGCTCTGTGCTGTGTTTTTATTCATTACTCTTCTACTCAAAAGTAGGGTTAGACATCTCATCTGAATTACCCGCGTACCGACCGTACCGTACCGACGGCTTGGTTTGGTTTGGTTAAATAATTATTTTTTAATTTTAATTATTCCGATCTGATCCGTACCGAAATGTTTGGTTTGGTTAACGGAAACAAAATTCCTAGCCCGACGGAAACTGCACCGATCCGATATTTATACTTATTTTATTATTTAAATATAAAACAAGAAACGAAAGGTAAATACAATCAGAATTTTGTATCACTCTTTTATCACCACTGTATCACTGCTTTATCACCATTTTATCTCTACTTTATCACCACTGTATCACATCTTTATTACCATTGTATTACTTATCAGGAGACTGTAGCATTGTTTGGTCAAAGAGGAATTTATGAACTTCCTATGTTTTCCAATTTCGACCTTTGTCCTGTTTTTGACCTGTAACTTTCCAACTGTTGGTCCAAATTTTATGTTCTTTATATAGTTGGATTCAGCATGAAAAAGTAAAGAACTCAAAGCGGAACAAATGTCAAAATCATTTACATAAATGTAGAGAATTCAATAAAAGAACACTCAAATGTTCAAACAACAAATACAAGTGGCTCCTAGTACATCTTGAGTACATATTGAATGATATAGTGACTAAGTTATTTGATTTCATACTTGGATGAATTAGACTATGGATTTATATATTTTACAAGGATAATTTGGTGTATTTTTTCAAGAACTTATGTTATGTGAAAATATTATAAATTGTATTTTTATTAGTATGTTTTTATTACGGTACTACTCGCGTACCGGCCAATCCGAACCAAATATTAGGTTAACCGATCCGAAGTCTACCGAAATCTTTGGTTTGGTTAACGGAAGAGCCTTCTACTGTTCCAAACCGATCCACCCCCAAGCCTACTCAAAAGGGTTATAAGTGATATCATTCACCTACCGAAAAGGAGCATGTTACTTTGAATGTGACTTTCCATAAAGAAGTGCTTTATTATGTCTCTTCACTCTCTCCAATTCAGGCGGATAAAGGGAGTGAATTGGAGAATCTTGGACTTGAACTGCATAATGATATATTTGAAGATGTACTCTCAAGAAGAAAATAACCGGTCATACTAGAGAAAGTGACCGGTCACCACAATTGGGAGCTGAAGATGGTGCTCTCTGTGAAGAAACGACTAGTTGACATTTGGAACTCGATTGGTTGACTGAGTCTGGCGATGACAAATCACTTTCTGTGAAGAAATGACTGGGCGACAACTAGGATGCAACCGATTGCATCTGAAAATTACGACAGTGACTCGTGTGCAACTGAGTTCGATGCAATACCCCCCTCTACCCTACTAATGCCCCAAGCTACTCATGATAGTGAATCAAGTGAGGTAATTTCTGATGATCTATCTGTGTCAACTTATGAGTTAACCCTACGAACCACTCGTAGAAAACCTAAAGTACAATATTCTCTTGATATACATGCTAAGTCTAAATATCTCATTAGCTATTGTGTTTCAACTCATCGTTTATATAAGTCATATACATCATATTTGTGTCAATTATCTAGTGTATATGTCCCAACTAAGCTGCATGATGCTCTTTCTGATCCTAAATGGGTGGATGCGATGAGTGTTGAAATGGAAGCTTTGAACAAGAATGAAACTTGGGATTTAGTCCCTTTACCCAAAGGGAAGAAATTTGTTCGAGTATAGATGGGTGTTACTCTGAAGCATAAGACAGATGGTTTCATTGACCGTTACAAGGCTAGATTTGTAGTAAAGGGTTATACTTATACCTATGAAGTGGAGTACTTGGAGACCTTTGCTTCAATAGCAAAGCTCAATACTGTGCGTGTACTCTTGTCCCCAGCTGCTAATCATGACTGACCCTTGTTGCAGTTTGATGTCAAAAATGCATTCCTACATGGTCACCTCAAGGAAAAAAATATACATGGATCTTCCTCATGGTATTCCTGTGACCTTCACGGAGGGTGTCTTGTGTAAGCTGCGGAAATTCTTACATGGATGAAAGCAGTCTCCAAGAGCATAGTTTAGGAAGTTTGTTGTATCTATGAAGAAATTTGGGTATGTACAGAGTAACTCGGACTATACTTTGTTTCTAAAACATCATAAAGGTAAATTGATAGCTTTAATTATTTATATTGATGATATGATTGTGACTAGAGATGATCAGACAGAAATGCAAAATCTTTAGAAGTATCTGGTTTCTAATTTTAAGATGAAGTTATTGGGTGACTTGAAGTACTTTCTTAGGATTGAAGTTGCTAATAAAGAGCGTTATCAACGACTTGTGGGAAAATTGATTTATTCAACTCATACACCTCCTGATATTGCATATGCAGTAAGTGTAGTGATTCAGTTTATGCATTATCCTAGTAAAGATCGTATGGGTGCTGTGATGCGTATTCTAAGGTATTTGAAAGTAACTCATGGCAAGATGTTAATGTTTTCCAAGTATGGTCATACAGATGTGGAAGGGTATGTAGATGCCGATTGGGCTAGTTCAGTCACTGATAAACGTTCTATGTTAGGGTATTTCACATTTGTTAGTGGTAATCTTGTTACTTAGAGAAGTAAAAAGCAAAAAGTGGTGTCTCGGTCTAGTGCCGAAGCCGATTATTGTGAGATGGCTCAAGGTGTATGTGAGTTACTATGGTTAAGGAGATTGTTGGGAGATCTTGGGTTTGAGCCCCAGAAACCCATGGATTTGTATTGTGATAGTAAAGCTGCAATTGTGATTGCTCATAACCCTATGCAACATGATCGTACAAAGCATGTGGAGGTTGATCGGTTTAATGAGGACATGGGTATCAAGTTTAATGAGTTCATTGTTCTTATTTGCCTAGTCTATCTTCTCAAGGATGACAGTAATGATGTTCACACTGTATCCGAAACACAAAACTTTTATTCTACATATTATTTTTTAGCTACCATTTGTTGCTCTTTAACAATTCATAAATAGAGTAATATCAGCGCGACTGGATCAAAACTTAACACTCTCACTAGAGGAGGAGGCGAGAGAGAGAGAAAAAAGAAGCAGAGGCAGAGGTAGAGGAGGAGGCGTCAATTCTCTTTGGAAGAAAGAGAGAGGATGAATTAATTAAAGATAATTAATGAGATGAGAGAGAATGAATTCTTAATTAATATATTATCATAACTTTAATCCCAATGTATAAATATTAATTAAAGAAAAAAAATATTGTTTTGCCATGTCAGGTTTAATCTCAGCCATTAAAAGTGGAGTAATCTAATGACACAAAAATTGTGTCAAAACTTATGTTAAAAATATGGTGCCACGGATCCGCCCCCATATATATATATATATATATATATATATATATATGAGAGCAATGATACTTGTAAAGGATGCAAACATCACTGCAAATTGAGAAGTCGGCAAACAAACAATCACACTGTGCAAATTATTGATATTGAATCCCTCTATACGTGGAAGAGATATTGCCACTAATGAAACCAAAGAGAAGACCTCATTGTGTCTTAAGGGGGGGGCCACTAGTACAAGTTATTTACACTAATATTTCCTAAAGTTTTCGATGTTTACACAAAATTCTCTGAGGTTTTAAAAATTACCCTTTGAGGTTTCAATTTGTTTTCACAAACCCCTTTTCATTGAATCTTCATCCAAAATTTGATGATTTCATACATAAAAACTTTTGCAAATAACAAAATTAACCTCAACGAATGTATATGAATCCTAATATCAAAAGCTAACTTTGGCATTTGAAGAATTTTTTAATATAAAATCATCAATCTTTAGACACAAAATCAATGAAAATAAGTTTTGTGAAAACAATTTAGGACCTAAGGAGGTATTTGTGTACTTTTATAAACCTCAAGGGGTTTTGTGAAAAAACGGAAAATCTCAGCATAAGTTGTTGCCGCGACATGTGAAATTTAGGTTGAAAAACATATGATCTACCTACAATATAGGATTAAAAAGTTACATGAACAATACATATACCATGGAAACACTTGTGTATATACAATATACCTACACCATGGGAACACTCGTATACACACAACTTACCTATATTTACAACATATGCTTACACCATAAGAACACTCGTGTATATAGAACTTACCAATATTTACAACAATACCAACACCGTATGAGAACACTTGTACATACAATGTACCTACATCATGGGTACATGAGTAAATAGACCACACCTAGGGGGTGTTTACTAAAGGCCCTCTGATGCCTAAATCAGTTCAATGGATCTTAAGAAAGATACGACAAAGTAACTGAAAGGATGGAGACCTTCTCTCACGAGAAGAGCCGGGTGGCCGAAGCCATGTGTGTTTCGGTGTGTGGCCGTGAAGGAGAAAGAGAAAGTAGCGAGAGGGGGAGAGAGAAGTTTTTCTAGGGTTTCAAAATCTTACCTCATGTGTGTTGTGTAGCAAAGTATGTATAGGCTCCTTACTTGGCTAGGGTTTGGAAAATAATCCCTCTTTAATTAGAATTATTCTTGCCCAAAAAGATGATAGGAATTAATCAAAGAGATATTTAGTGATATACCCATTTTTAGCAATAATATTATAGATAAACCCTACATCATTGAATTTCTATAAACAAACCCAAAAAATGACAATTGACCTTATTGAATTTAATATTGATTATTAAATTACTTTGATGCCCTATTAAGTGTTTTGGGTATTTTTATGAGATTTTGGGGTTGGGCTTGTTTTAAGAAATTGATGACAGTTTTGTAATTTACAAAAAATTAAAAGCCTCTTTGTTATATTGTAATTGGGTTTTGGGTGTGTTTCTAAAGTCAATTTCATATAGGGTATTTTTATAATTTAGGCCCTGTATTGGGTATAATAGTGAATCTCCCTTAATCAAAACAGATTTGCTGGAAATTGACTCCTTAATTTAGGTAGATATTCCTATCTTAAATAAAGGATAATTCCGTAATTAAATATGATTATTTGATCTAAGGAATATTCTTTTTTCCACGTGTCACCTTCTTATTGGTTGTCGAAATATGTGTTCCCACAAATGTCATCCAGCTTCTGCATGGAGCTTGTGAGGCTTGGAGGAGATGAGAAATATTTATCGAGCTTTCCAATTGCATCTCGGCTTCCTTCTGTGAGTTGAGTACCTTTCATGAGTTGGGCTCCTAATTGGAGTAGGCTTTTGACTTCTTCTAGGAGTTGGGCTCCTAATTGAAATAGGCTTGCGACTCCTTATTGACCTGGGATACCCAACCTTTATAAATACAAGGTTTCTCTTCACTCCTCTTCAAATTGCAAACTTGATTTTCTCTACTTTATAACTTGTGAGAGAAATCTTGGAGGAGTGTACTATTTGTCAAGGAGAGTAGTCGTTGTGCATACAAAGGTAGGTCATGCTTAGATTTTTATTTTTATGTAATTTTGTTTTTCTCTAGGAGAGGACCAGCTAGTGTATTCCCAGCTAGCTGTTGTCGTGACTAGGTGCAACGGCAGCTGGCAAAAGCTGGCGGCAGTTGCCATGATTATTTATGCTTTTCTCGGCGAAGACCAGCTAACCTTGGTTTGCCGGTTGTCATTGTGATGCTGAGGCGAGCAACTGGATGGTGGCTGCAAGACTATGGTTGCTGCTGTTGCTAGCGGTGGTGGCTAAGGCCGCTGCCCCCTTTTTTTTTTTTTTTTTACCCACTGCTCTTCACTGGCCAAACTGCGGAATCGCTTCTTTTGCTATGGTTTGGCCTTGAGGGACTTTGCTTTAATGTTTCTTTTGGCCTATAAACATTCATTTGTCGAACTGTCAATCAAAGTTGTTAATTGGGCAGAACCATATTTGAATACGTGGTCAGATTAAAAGTTTGACAACATAAAATTTCAAACTATTTTAAAGAATGTTACCTTCTTTTTTAGACCAGCACTATAAAAATCTCTTCAAATGAGAGAGAGAGAGAGAGAGAGAGAGAGAGAGAGAGAGAGTGCATCTTTCCTGTGAATTAAAGTCCAAGTTACAAGTTGTTTTGTTGTAGATATATTTCCAAGTTCCTTGCCCCACATGAAGACATTAAAAATGTAGCCTAGCATGCACGGAGTAGTCATTCAAATTGAAGCATTTTTGGGGTTTTAAAAAAAGAAAAATGCTAGGAAGAACATATAGTATATCACGGGCACATATTTTGATATTGTCTCCAATGAAGTGGGCAAAACATCACTCTTAAGAGTATTTTTACCCATTTGTCATGGTCAAGGGGAGGAAAGGGCAGATACTATTCACGTAAATAGTATCAACCCTTGCAAAAGACAAGGTGTGTTTCCACCCATTGCCATGGCAAAGGGCAATTACTATTCACTGTAACTTTTTTTTATTTTTTATACTTAAACGATTAATTTGGATAAGATTTTCAGTTGCCACGTGTCAATTTTTATTATAAAATTCTCATCTCATATTTCGGATAAAATTTTCGGTTGCCACATGTCATATTTATTATAAAATTCACATATCAAATTTCATATAAAATTTTCATATATGATTTTCGAGTGGTACGTGTCCGTATTTATTATAAAATTCACATCTCACTCATCATACAATTAAAATACTCACGGTCCTCATAGTTTGACACAATCGAGTACATGGACAACTCAATCATTAGCGGAGACGGTTGCACCAGATCAAGACATGGGGTATTTTCTTTCGAGGCCGTAACAGTGCCATTATTTTCGACACGGAACGCACTATGGGAACCAACTGTGGGCATTATTCACTTGAGGAGCCATGTGTAATGGTTTTCCTCTTTTTTTGTTTTGCCTTGAATAATATATGAAAAAAATTAAATTAGAAATGCAAGAAAATAATTTTAAAAATGACATTAAATTGAATAAACTGGCAATTAGAAATTTTTTACCTTGTTGCCAAGATTTTGACCGCTTTGAAAGTTTGTCCATGACCATCCGGCTTCGATGTAAGAGGCCATTTGTATTTTTACACAAATTATATTGAGTAGTAGAAATTTTGGTGTAGAAAGTGAATAATATTGGAAGGAGAATAATTTGTATGAAGATTTGGTGTTGAAACTGAATAATATTGGTAGGTATTTATCGAACCCTGCAGGAGTCGCCACGTGGCTTTTGGCCGTTGGATTGGAGCACAAACCCTAGATCGAACCCTCCAGGAGTCGCCACGTGGCTTAGGGCCATTGGGTAAAGCTGCGCCGATGCCACGCTAGCGTCAATGCAAGTTTTTCAAAAAAAGTTTAACGTAATTCACACGCCAACAGTAGAAAAAATTCAAATTATTGCGTTGAGGCCAGCGTGGTGTCAACGATGACGCAAGCTGCCCAAAGACAGCATCTAGAGCCATTTCTCCCCATGAGCTTGCTCAGGTTAGTGGGCTCCACGCCTTGCCCAGGCTTGCTGTTGCGTGCTGGAACGTCCTCGCAGGGCCTACTCAGAAATTGTCACTGCGTGGCTGCAGACTTTCTCTTTCTTTTAGCTTGAAAACAATGCATCATTAAAGCGGCAAAACATCACTTTTAAGACTTAGAAATTGTCAAACAACCATAATTGTAGACCACATTAGTAGGTCTAAAAAGGAGGCCTCCA